GCACACTGCGAGGAAGTGGTCCCTGACTACTCTAAGGGAGTCAGGGAGTCGGGTGACTATGAAGTAGAGGGTGATGTACATGGGGGGAGGGTTCTTGGCGCAGAAGTCAGCAGGAAGCGCAGCGCGGTAGCGAGTGTCACTAGTGCGGAGGTGCGTAATGAGGTCAGCAACTGTGGGAAAGGCAGCAAGGTCATGGAAGAGGTACGGTAGCATGAGACGGCTCAGTACAGCAGTGGCAGGGGAGGAGTAGCTTGCAACTACAGCGTCGTACAAGGTATGAGCACTCTTGTATTGACTAAAGTGCGCACGCTCGGAGGTAGGGAGGTGGCGACGCACAGCAAGACGTGCAGCAGCGTCGCGCGTGGCCCACTGGGAGCGAACAGTGGCGTCAGCATCAGCAGCAGGGGCAGGAGAGGCGCCAGAGGTGAGGTCAAAGAGAGAGAGAGACCGTCTGCCCTATCGCACTGTAAGAACAGCTGCAGGTCATCTACCCAGACCTCAAAGTCAATGGCCCGACCCTCAGCGTCAAAAGCGAGGACACTAGGGGTAGCCATGACCACAGTAGACTAGCAGTGCAGACAGTAGGGTGAGGGCTGTGCAGTGAAGTGTAGTGAAGGAGGCGCGGTGCTTACCGGACGGGGCAGCTCGGGCGGCTTGACAGCAGGGCTGCTCGGCGGCTCAGCGGCTCGGCGGCTGGGCGGCTCGGCTGCAGTGCGGCTCGGCGGCCCGGCAGCTTGACTGTACGGCGGCTCGGCGGCTGGGCGGCTCGGCTGCAGGGCGGCTCGGCTGCTGGGCGGCTCGGCTGCAGAACGGCTCGGCTGCTGGGCGGCTTAGCTGCTCGGCTGCTGGGCGGTCTGGCGGCTCGGTTGTCCGGCTGCTCCGTCGCCCGGGCGGCTCGGCGGTGCTGCTGCAGAGCGGCGCGGCGGTCGGCTGCTCGGCTGGGTGGGACGGGTCGAGCAGTCCTGGTGGCGGGCGGCGCTGCAGCAGGTGACGGGGCCGCAGATGAAGGCGGCGAGGCTGTAGCAGAGGGCGGCGTGGCCGCAGGTGATCGCGGCGGGGCCGCAGCTAGGGCGGCGACGGGGCCGCAGGTGAAAGGGCGGCGACGTGCCGCTGCTGGGGCGGCGACGGGCCGCAGGTGAGAAGGGCGGCGACGGGCCGCTGCTAGGGCGGCGACGGGCCGCAGGTGAGAAGGGCGGCGACGGGCCGCTGCTAGGGCGGCGACGGGCCGCAGGTGAGAAGGGCGGCGACGGGCCGCAGGTGAAAGGGCGGCGACGGGCCGCTGCTAGGGCGGCGACGGGCCGCAGGTGAGAAGGGCGGCGGCGGGCCGCTGCTAGGGCGGTGACGGGCCGCTGCTAGGGCGGCGTCGGGCCGCTTATGAAAGGGCGCCGCGACGCGGCCGTTAGGGCTGCACGACGCGACCTAAAGGGTGTCGCGACGGGCCGCTAAGGGCGACGCGACGGGCCGCTAAGGTGATGCGATGGGGCCGCTAAGAAGGGCGCGACCCTAGGCGCGCTTCGGGCGGGAGCAGGACGTGCCCCGGGCAGAAAACAAAAAAGGGATCGGTGGGCCCTAGGAACAGTTCCCACGAGGGAACCTGCTCGATACCATGAGAAATTATGAACGAGAATGAATGAACTATGAATGAAGTGAGTACAAGTACTAACCCTAATTGGGTTGTACCCCCTATGGGATACCCCGCTATAGCCTACACAAAAGCATAAGCTATAATGTTCTGACAGGCTGTCGATTCAAGGGCATTTGCCCTTAATGCCATGAACATTCCAGGTTATGTTTGGCGCGGCTCGACCATTTTAAGGGTTTGATCGGACTGGCACCCGTGCCAGTTAAGGGCATCGTTCGGCCCTTCCCCGGACGCGTTAAGTGCTCAATCCGGGCCGTCCCCTGAATCTAAGTTCTACTTTCGGTTCCGCAGACCACCCCCTTAAAATCTTGCGGAACACCCCCCTCCCCTCACCCCCCCTCTCCATGAAAGTTGCACAATAGGGCGCCAGGTGGAGGATGTTTCACTCGATTTTTTTCCAATCTAGTGTGTGTGTAGTGTCGAAGTCAGGAGATGAGTAGAAATGTAGTACACCCTAATGCTCACTCAACCGCCCACTCTGAACACGCCCACTGCCATTCCATACGCCCAGTGGTCGACATTCACAGCCAACGGCCCGCGCGTTACTAGCCCACGACAAAGCTAAGATATTCCTGACCTCGGATAGGTTAATCGATTTCCCCAGACAAGACACGCTGGGCTACCCAGATACAGTCCCATTCTCCCCGTAGAGAGCGCATGCTCGAAAGAGGAGCACAGGGAAAGATAGGGAACGGGACTGAAATGGGCATCAGGTGTAGATAGTGCAGCTGTAGTTGTAGTTGGAAGTTGTGACATACAGGTTGACTGGAGTAGCTAGCAGAGAAAAGTATGTGATTTTCTTGTCTCTGATGTTGTTTAGGTTAGTTAAGTACACAACACATTGGAGCCCGGATTTCAAGTTTACACTTCGGCCTGCACCCGTGACCGTAAAGGGCGAAAATTTGGTCACCTCCCTGAAAATCAGGGTCAGAATTTCAGCAGCTGGGGGTCTCAAGTTCTGCCCCAAGGGATATCGACAGCCCTGGTTCGGCGCCTTCCCGAGTAGCAGCACCCCCTACAAGCGCGTCGCGCTTGCCAAACCATATGCCAGACCCGCGACAGCGGATCGCCCTTATCACATCCAAAGCCACGGAGCGTGCCATGCGAGACATTCTGGTTACGTGTTTCTGTTGATGCGTGGTGCTGGCCCCTTCCATCGGAGCTTTGCTGGCTGGTTTGGGAAAGCAGATGCTTGGCGAAAAGTTAGCAGGTTCGGCTGAGGAGGCGAAGCGGTTCTGTCTCGCCCGCAGCCCTCGTTCTTACGCCCCATCGCAGCTTCTACACTTCGCCAGCCAATCACAATCAAGCCCCGCAAATCGGCGCTTGAACTTACGGGCGAAAGGGAGCCCCGCACAAAACTCGACTTACGAAGCGCCTAATGGTGCTGATTCACTGTCAAAATCCTAAGTTTCTTTCTTGCACCCGCCTAATGGTGCTGATTCACTGTCAAAATCCTAAGTTTCTTTCTTGCACCGCACGACAATACCTCTTCATGGATTGCCGTCTAACAAGTGCCTACCATGGCATCGCCGGCAGCCGTAACTTTCTCAACTCAGCTCAAATGCTCTGTGCGAAGTCATAATCTGCAACCAGAACAAGACTTCCCCAGCAGTGATACTCTGAAACCTGCCGTTCAACTCACAACCCTCTTGCGATGATGAATGGTGCAGCTCATAGTGTAACCGTGCCGAAAAGGGGCGAAGCGAGCCCTTCGACGTATCACCCAGTGATGGCCTCCTTAACTTCCCTGCCGCAGCTCAAGCCTCGCGACAAGCTGTTCTTAGCGGCGCGCTTCTTCGTCGTGGCGCTCGGTCTGCTCCTCATAGCTTACAACCTTTTTAAGTCCTCTGCCATGCGGCACTCGCCTATTGAGTGGTTTGATATGAATGCATTCAATGATAAGCTAGCGGCTACCGATTCTAATCTTTCCGTCATACTTTACCAGCAAGGATTTGCGGCCGTACCTGCTGAATCCTCACAGGCTGTTTCAAACAGAAATACCAGCTCCCAAAACCACACAGGAAGTTCCTTACCCGTTAAATCACCACCGGCTGTTTCCTTACCTGCTGAATCCCCATCGGCTGAGTCCCCACCGGCTGTATCCTTACCGGCTGAGTTCCCACCGGCTGAATCCTTACCTGCTGAGTCCCCACCAGCTGTATCCTTACCGGCTGAAACCCCACCGGCTGTACCATTACCGGCCGAATCCCCATCTGTTGTATCCCCACCGGCTGTATCCTTACCGTCTGAATCCCCAGTGGCTGTATCCTTAGCGGCTCAATCCCCACCGGCTAAGCCCCCACATGATGGGGATGGTCCTCTCGTGGCTTTCGATCGCGCTTTCGCCTCTTTGATCTCGTTTCAGCGAAAAGGTCGCGTTCCGTTCGCCAATGTCGCAACGTTCAATTTCGACCCCTCCGTTACAAGCGCCGCCTTCGTCGCCACGCGCTACAAGCTTCTATCGCTGCCCGTTCCGCGTGTGCCCGAGAAGCTGACGTGGCGCGACGCGTACCCTGTATGGGTGAACGAATCGCGCTCATCCTGCCCGAAAATTCCTGAACCGAACTTCCCAGATTGGCTGACCAGCATCCACGCCATTGTCGCACATGTGCCCTGCAACGAGCCTAGCGATTCCTGGACAAAGGATGTTCGCTGGCTACACCACCTTCTCACTATAACAAGCTTCGCCATAAGGGTACTGTATTCTATTCCCTCTCATTAACAGTCTCGCCGCCCGTGGCATGGTTACCAGTTGTGCTACTCTCCTCGTGTCATCCATTCCCCCTTATTTCAAATGGTTGGCTGAAGTTCAGCAAACCCTGTTCCAACTTGAAATTTGAAATTTGTCACCTGTGCTTACCAGTGGTGTTACTCTCCGCCTTATTTCGCCCAATCCCCTTGTACTATCATCATAATGTAACAGGCTAACCGCACGTGGTTACCAGTGGTGTTACTCTCCTCGTGCCGCCCGCCGCCCAACCTCTTCCACTGCTCTCGACTCGTGGCGCGGGAGGGTGACACGTGGCTGTACAACATGACGGCCAATGACATGCTGACACGTGTACAGCCCCTGGGGTCATGCGCCATGGCTCAGCCTCAGCCTATCAACAGCGAGGTGTCAGGTAATGCGACACGAGAAACCGCAGGAAGTGTAGTCAAACCGAAAAAGAATGAAGACTACACATTTTTCTTTCATCCACCTACTAATAACTCTTATCTAACTCCTCTCCTTCCACATCTTCTTCTCCCAGCCAACCAGCACGTCGCGTATGCTACAGTGCTACACTCATCGGAACGCTATGTGTGCGGCGCAATAGTACTGGGGCACAGCATAAGGAGGACGGGGAGCAAGCACGAGATGGTTGTGCTTGTATCGAAGGAGATTAAAGAGGAGAGCAGGCGAGGGTTGAGGGAGGCGGGGTGGACAGTGAAGGAGATTGAGAGGATTCGCAACCCCAACGCAGTGAAGGGGACTTATAACGAGTGGAACTACAGGTTTGTGTGCTTATATCAAACGGAATTACAGGTTAATGTGCTAGTGTGCACTTTTCATTCTCCGCATTTCCATGTTAACCCTTTGCCCTTTTGTTTTTTAGATCTTCGTGGGTGTACCCTGTGCTCTTTCACCCACCTATTGGTCTCTGTCACTAACTCCATAGCCTACTGTCTGTTTTGTCTTGTTTTTCTTGAATTTTGTTTTTGTAATTTCTGTTGCTCATTTCTCTGTTTTCTTGGTTCATCCTGACATTAGTTGACTCGTTTCCTCACTCATCTTGACTTTCCTCCCCCCAGCAAGCAGGCGGAGTACGCCAAGCTGGTCTTTATTGACTCGGACCTGCTCGCCTTGACCACCGTTGACTACATTGACTTGTATAGTCATCCCCCCTGCAACTTACCCTCCTGTCCCCGTCCCCTCCCCACCCCCACCAGCAAGCTGCGGCTGTGGCAGCAGACGGAGTACACCAAGCTGCTCTTAATTGTTTCTCTTGTCTTGACCAGCGTTGACTACATTGACCTCTCTCTTCAATCCCTTTCTCCCCCCCCCACCCCAGCAAGCTGCGGCTGTGGCAGCAGGCGGAGTACACCAAGCTGGTGTTCATTGACTCGGACCTGCTCCTCTTGAACAGCGTTGACTTTCTCTTCTCATACCCCGAGATCTCCACCCGCGGAAACGACGGCTCGGATTTCAACTCGGGCGTGATGGTCCTGGAGCCGTCGGATTGCACGTTTGAGCTGCTGATGGGAAACCTGGAGCGCGTGAGATCGGCGAATGGGGGGGATCAGGTGAGACCATGATGCTATGTGACCAGGTGAGACCAGGTTGCTATGTCATGTGATGTGACTCCCTATCAGCCCCTTGGAGTGGGTGAAGGTGAAGTGTGAAGTTTGAATCATTTCGAGTTGACTGTCAGCTCCCTAATTTCGATTTCCACCATTTTTCTTCATACTCCCACCTGCCCAGGGCTTTTTGAACAACATCTTCACCTGGTGGCACCGCTTACCAGAGTCTATAAACACCCTCAAACCCGTCTGGACCTCTGACCCTGTGAAGAAACAAGCAATCATCGACTTGAAAGGCAGGTGGTTTTCAGAAGACCCTTCGGAAATCCACGCTATACACTACCTTGGCATGAAGCCGTGGTGGTGTTACCGTGAATTCGATTGCAACGTGCTGATACCCGATTTTGTTAACTTCGCTAACGAGGCAGCTCATAAGAGGTGGTGGAGTGTACACGATTCAATGCCAGAGCCACTAAAGCAGTTTTGCTTGATAACAAGTGAAGCGGAGGAGAAGCTGAAGAAGCTGATTGAAGGATCCAAGCCAGCCCCATTGCCTTGATGACTTACTTTCTTAGGGTTAGATGATAATTTGGCAAATTAGGTTCTGGACATGTATCTCTGTCCTCCCTTGTATAAACTCGTATACTTACCTTTCTGGACAAAAGTACGCAGCTTCTGCAAGGTGGTCCAAGCAAGCTATCATGACGTTGCGTATGTGTTACGGGTGCAATGTAGCGAGAGGATTGCACAAAGTGAAGCAAATGTACGTAAGCGAAGGCACGAACATTTATACTGGTATCGAAACATGCAAACGACGCGGTGCGTACGAGCTAGTTAGTGTAACGCTGGCAGCGAGGGTCGGGTTCGTCCCGAAGCGTACACCGACTCGGGCCAGTCCAGGGATGCATGGTTTGGGAATTCTGACGCGCGAAGGTGGCGAAACACCGTTAGCTGTAACGGGCGAAGATACGGTTGGTCCTATACGCGATGTTGAAATTCGCAGCAAGGAATTATAAAACATTTCTCTTCGTATAGTACGGTACATTTCATCTTCTAACGACACGAGTTCAAGCAATACATCATGGTAAAGAAACAAATTGAGACACCCTCGCGTTACGCGGCAAGGCGTAGAAATTGCGGCTGAGGTAGGCTGAGAGGACTAAGACAAGCATCACGTTAAAGTATGCCACCTTAACCAGGCCGCACTTATCTCAAAAGCTCGTACGGAGAAGTAGCGAGGAAATCGAGACCCGCATTGTACTGTATGTGGTTTAGTCGTATGGTACTGTAAGGCGCCTACAATCACGATGCGTAGAATACTTCCAGTTCTGCGGAACTCCTCCCTCCCCTGGATATGGAAGGCGCGAACCTGGGAGTTTTAAAACACTCGAAGGCCGTTGTCGCAGAGTCGCATCTGCGAGTGCAGCATGAATCACCTGGGAGTGCAGCATGACTTGCCTGGGCTGGGAGTGCAGCATGAATCACCTGGGAGTGCAGCATGACTTGCCTGTGCTGGGAGTGCAGCATGACTCACCTGGGAGTGCAGCATGACTCACCTAGGAGTGCGGCATGACTCACCTAGGAGTGTATCATGACAATGTGGAAGTGGTATGATCCCGGGAGGAACTGCAGCTGGTGCATGGCTTCTGCTAACATGTCGCACTCCTGCACACGTGGAGCAGTAGACCCATTGTGCCATGGGAGGGATGGTATAATGATGAGATGTGCACTTGGTAAGCCGGACAGTGCAGTGGCTTCTGCACCACGCTCCCTTGAAATGGACCCTCAGGACAGCATTACTCACGTTTTCCCTGGAGCATTCATCATCCACCCACACCGCACCTCCCACGCCATCACGGAACTTGTGCATGAGGAATTCTTCTCCTTCAAGTATAAAGGTCTTGCACAAGGCAAGTATATCCGAAAGAAAAATCACACACGGGCAGGAAGCACATGATCTATCCATCCTCCCTGCATACTCATGATCGTCGCCGCCAGCTCAGCACGGAGTTCGTCCTCGTCAGCACAGCTGTACTTGATGTGCAGCACTTTGCGCGGCACCGATGGCATGTGGCGGGCCATGAGGGATGGTACATCGTTGAGGGAATGGATTGAGACGGGGTGGATGAAGCCGGGAATGGCGAGCATGGGGCAGTGGTGGAAGTAGCTGGGTGGGGGGGAGGGAATGGAGAAAAGAGGGGAGTGGGGATGGGGCAATAGCGAAGGGCAAGGGTCAAGAGGAAAAAGAGGGTTCAAAATAAGCACGGGGCATTGGGATGGGAGCGGGTAGGAGCATGGGAGAGCGCACGGGGCGACAAGGAGGGAACGAGGCGGCCCATGAGGGAGGGGAGATCGTCGAGGGAGTGGACTGAGATGGGGTGGATGAAGCCAGGGATGTCGAGCATGGGGAAGTGGTGGGAGCGTCTGTGGATCGGGGAGAGAGGGGGGGTGGGGGGGTGGAGCGGGGCAACAGCGAAAGAGAAGAAACGGGGTGGAACGGGGGTTCACAATAAGTAGGAGGGGGCTGGGAGGAGGGATGGAGGCAGAGCGAGGGAGAGAGATAGGTCATGGGCGTGCATTGTTTGGCGCAGCAGGGAGAGTACGTGGCGGCCCATGAGGGATGGTAGGTTGTCTAGAAAATGGATTGGGACAGGTTAGATAAACCTGGGGATGGCGAGCATAGGGCAGTGGCGGAAGCCGACTGTGCGCCTCAAAATTCGTCTCTTGTCTTGCAACTTTTATGTGGGGATAATTATAATTGCATAGAAGTGTGCGCGTAACCTTCAGCGTTTACTTGTAAGGGCGCGGTTACCAAAGACACTCGCCAATATTGCTCTTCCTAGCTGGAATCTGGGTAGTTGGGTATATTGTATGTAGATCTCGAGGGAAGTCTAGCTACTTTACCTGCTACCGCACTCATTGCTCTTGAGTTCCAAACTGTGCTGTACCGATGAAGGCGTGATCGGGATTCCCCCGTCCACCGAAACTAGCTAACGCAAGGAGGACCTTTGGATTCAAGGGGTTTTCTATATCTACCTTTTTCACACGTTTTTCACACTATATGCTGTTCCTATTGCTCAAGCGTTAACTTCACGCTCTTCTACCTTTCTAACATGTGTCAAGAAGCCCCTAGGGCAATGGTGGAAGTAGCTAAGTGGGAGGAGGGAGGAAGAGGGTGGGAGAGGGATTGAGGGGGGTAAGGGGGGAAAGTCGGGAGAGAGGTTGGTGGGGAGGGGCAATAATGAAAAGGTTAAGGACAGGTAGAGGGAGAGGTGAAGACGGAATAGAAAGAGGCGGAAGAGGAGATATCAGAAGGTATGAAGTGATAACCGATTTCCAAACACCAAAAAGACCGACAGGAGTGGGGAGATTGGGGAAGGGGGTTAAGCAAGAAGCTGGGCGGGAGAGTGACGTGAGAGAAAAAGGTAGAGGCACAACCAACGCAATGTCATTAGGCAGGGATGAATAGAGGGGTGAACATAATGAGTTAAATAACAGAGGAAGGCGGAACTAACAATAAAATAAAAATGCAGGAGTCTAAGGAGACAACGACACAAGGTAGTAAAGAGGGTGCATAGTGGTAAAACAATTCTGCCAGGTTTTGAGGTGCTCAAAACTGACGCGTGATGCCGTACCACCAGCTTGCTCACTCACTTCAATTTTAAAGTTCGGAAGCTGTAGCAGCCACCTCCTTCCTCTTATCCATCTCCTTGACCCATGAGGCTCAGCAGCAGCAGCAGCAGCACAGGCATGTGGAAATTGCGGCAGCAGACCGCCAGCAGCAACAAACGCTATGGCACCCCCTACTTCCACTGTTGATGCCAATGCTGCTGAGCCTCTCAAACGCAGGCCAGGTTAAAAAAAATGAGAGGAATGAGGATGGCGCTGAAGGGGTTAAGACCACAAACAGACAAGTGGACGAGCTGGTGTCATGCACGCAGGGGGTAGGGGAAGATGGAAGGATGGGCAGGAGGAGGCTGCAGGGTGACTTGGGAAGACGCAAATTGGATGTGTGAAAAAGAGGAAGCATTGGATAAATGAGCAAAGAGAGGAAAGTTGAAGCAAAAGATGTGTTATCTGGTGATGTGTAGAAGCATGAAACGAAGATATCGCTTCCCATGCAGCCCCCTCCTTGCGTGCTCCACCCTCCTTGCTATGAGTGCATACACCCTCTTGGGGAGTGGGAGTGTGCAACAACAAGATTCAGGCTTGGAACAACTTGATCCCTTACATGTTGATGGTGATGATCATGAATGCGATGGTGTGCGGTGGGTAGAATTTTCCTTCGCTCTGGCTTTAGGTCTAACTACCAAGCCAAGTTATCTCACGGTCACCCAGTCCAAGGTGCCGCATCATCAGTGGTGCTCGTGATGCAGACACGGATGCGGTGGTGTGTGGTGTAGTGGTGTACGATGTCGAGCATCTACATGGATAAGACTGAGAGGTGTTCGTGCCCCATACTCTGGGTAGAGGACCAGCTCATGTACACCATGATGTGCAACTGCACTCCTGCTCTAGTTTGATATTCATTTTGTTGTCCTGCCTCCAACTCATGTACGCCAAGATATGCACCTACTATATCTCACCATGCTGTGATCAGCCATATCCCACTAGTCTGTTAGCTAGCTTGCTTAGCTGATACTGTGATACTAGAAAACACAGAAGTGGGGACTAAACGCATAGCATAGGCCCTATCCTGCAATACGTGATACTTCCTTCAACAGCAAGGATGGTATCTCTATTCTATGTACCGGAATGTCTACACATGTGATAGCCGCATAAAGCGGTACCTCAACGTACACTTTCTACGGAAGGGAACTTATACCGGTGAATTGTCAAACTAAGACGTGTAAGTGTGTATGAGAGCATGTGAGGTAGCATTTACAAGGGTACACATGTATAGTTCGCATGTAGCACCATCCTTCTGGCTCACTACGGCTGCCCGAAGATGGGCAAGGGTAAAGGGGAAATGGTAACTCACAAGGAGAAAAGAGCCACATCACCAGTAGCACTCATGATGACCATGCCAATTTTGCTTGGCTTGGCTCATCTGAGCGAGCCCAACAAGGGGAGTGGCAACTCGCTAAAGAGACAACGGTGGCACACGAAGTAAAGGGTCCACTATAAACAGTAGTCACTTACGAGGTGAAGAGATCAGATTTGATGGTTGTGCTCATAATGACCACGCGAATACGTGCATGCACAATGGGGGATGAGAGCATCTGTTTGGCTCTCTCTATTTACCCTTACAGGGGCAACGATAACACGCGAAATAACATGATTTATTAGTAACAATGGTAACTCACGAGGTGAAGAGATCGGCATTGATAGTGGCGCTCATGATGACCACACGGATAGGATAGTGCACGGCGGGGGAGGTGCGCCATCATTCTCTTTCTTCGTGAAGAAACTTTGTTATGTCATATCCAGATTACAACTCGCATGCGTCCAAGCGTACAATTGTTAGGCCATGACGATGTTACTAATACGATACTGTCGACATCTCAAGCAATGATGACGTATCCCTAGCAGCTCCTAATGATGGTGAAACTCATCTAAAATCAAAGCTATGCATCCATCATCTTGGCAGGTCAATAGTGGCTCCTAGCGATAGGAGTCGTTCGAAACAAACTATTCTGAACTTCCGAAATCGTAAAAAAAATAGTATGAAGAAGCATGATACTCAATACGGAGTTGTGGTGGTGCACAACCAGTGTCACTCGAGATGGTTGACACAAACAAGGGTGACTCTGGATAGGGGGCTGAGGCGCTTGTGTCAGATTTATATGACTTAGCTACTGTAGGCTATAGTGGGGTAGCACATATGGGGTACAGCTTTCTAGGGTTTGTACTTGTACCCAACTTTCCCTTAGTCATTTCATTCTCGTTTCAGTTTTCTCATGGTATCGAGTAGGTTCGCTCGTGGGAACAATTCCTAGGGCCCACCGTTTTTTTTTTCCTGCCCAGAGCGCACTCAGCCCCTACCCGAGTCGCGCTCCCCTCTCTCTCGGCCCCTAGCGGCCCAGCCGCGCCGCCCTTACGGCCCCGCCGCGTCGCGCCGCCCTTGCGGCCCCGTCGCGCTGCCTTCGCGACCCCGGCGCATTGCGCCGCCCTCGCGGCCCCGTCGCGCCGCCTTCGCGGCCCCTTCGCGCCGCCCTCGCGGCCCCTTCACGCCGCCCTCGCGGCCCCTTCGCGCCGCCCTCGCGGCCCCTTTGCCCCGCCCTCGCGACCTCTTCGAGCTGCCCTCGCGGCTCCGTCACCCCACCCTCGCGGCCCCGGCGCCGCTCTTACCGGCCCAGGCGCCGCCCCTACCGGCCCTGTCGCCCTACCCTAACGACCCCGCGGCCCCACCCTCGCGGCGCCGGCCGCCACCCTTCGTGGCCCCGCCGCCGCCCTTAGCGGCCTCGTCGTCGCCCCACCCGGCCCTGCCGCCGTCTCTTCAGCGGCCCTGCCACCCTACGCGGCCCCACCGTCACCACCGAGCCGCCAGCGCCGCTGAGCCGCCGTTGCCGCTGTGCTGCCGAGCCGCCGCTGGTGCCGAGCCGCCCGAGCCACCGGAGCCGCCCGAGTCGCCGAGCCGCCGCTGCTGCCGAGCCACCGGAGCCGCCCGAGCCGCCAAGCCGCCGAGCTGCAGTTGCTGCCGAGCAGCCGAGCCGCCGAGCCGCCCTGTCCGGTAAGAGCGGCACCTCTACCACTGCGCTGCCCTTAGCATACTGCGTGCGCTGCTAGTCTACTGCTGTCATGGCTACCCCCAGTGTCCTCGCTTTTGACGCTGAGGGTCGGGCCAATGACTTTGACGTCTGGGTAGATGACCTGCAGCTTTTCCTACAGTACGATAGAGCAGACGGTCTCTCCCTCTTTGACCTCACTTCTGGTGCCTCTCCTGCCCCTGCTGCTGATGCTGACGCCACTGTTCGCTCACAGTGGGCCACACGCGATGCTGCTGCACGTCTTGCTGTGCGTCGCCACTTGCCTACCTCTGAACGTGCGCACTTTAGCCAGTACAAGAGTGCTAGGACCTTGTACGACGCTGTAGTTGCACGCTACTCTTCCCCTGCCACTGTTGCACTTAGCCGCCTCATCCTGCCGTACCTCTTCCCTGACCTCGCAGCTTTTCCCACAGTCGCTGACCTCATTACGCACCTTCGCACTAGTGACATTCGCTACCGCGCTGCCCTTCCCGCTGATTTCTGCGCCAAGAACCCCCCCCTATATACATCACCCTCTACTACATAGACACCCGGCTCCCTGACACCCTTCGCCCGGTCAGGGACCACTTTCTCTCTGTATGCCCCACCACCCTCACCGTTGACCTCCTCGAAGAGCGCCTCCTAGCAGCAGAGAAGAGCATAGTCGCTGTAGGAGCCTTTCGTGGTGACCCTCGTGCCCCTGTCTTTGTGGGGTGCTCCCCCTCTCCTCTCTTGCCCTCTGTTGCCTCTGCTGCTGCGGCCGACCTCGTTGGTCTTGAGTCGATCAGTGCGGCGTCTGCCCCTAGCGGGAGACGCCGCACTGGCAAGGGCAAGGGGGGCAGGGGCGCTAGAGGAGCTAGCGGGGGCGGTGGAGGCGGCGGAGGGGGTGG